GCACTTATTTCTAATCATTAAGACTTGGGAAATCAAATTCTTCATAAGCCTATTTTTATTTCATTTGTTATTTGGACTTAATTCCAAAACTTTAAACTTCAACAATTCTCATCCATTTTTGCTTTGTTATATAGCTTGTAAAAGCCTCAGGCATATTTTCTAAGGTATGCACAGTTTTTTTCCCACAGTTTTATGTATACACACACAAAAAAATTGTGAAATATTTAAATACAGATAACATCCATTATATCCCACACTTCTTTTTTTGGTGGTGGTAACATAGCACATCTAATTTTTTGGCAATTTTCAATATGTAATATATTGTTATTTACTGTAATCACTTTACTGCACAACAGATCACCAGAACTTATTCCTCCCAGCTGAAACTAATCATAAGCAAAATTCTAAAACCACAATGAGATATTATCACATTCCTCCCAAATGAAACTTTGTTCCCTCTAACCAACATTTCTCCATTCTACCACCTATCCTCCCAGCTCCTGGCAACCACCATCCTACTTTCTGTTTCTATAAGTTTGACTATTTTGTATCCCTTATGTGAGATCACACAGCATGCAGATTTGTCTTTTTGTGTGTGGATCATTTCACTTGCAATCATCAAGGTTCAGTTATGTGGCTGTAAATGACTATTTTCTTTTTTAAAGCTAAGTAATATTCCCTTGTGTGCAAATATACCACATTTTCTTTACCAATTCATCAGGTGATGAACACTTGAGTTGATTCCACATTTCGGCAATCATTAATGCTACAATGAACAGGAGAGTACAGGTACCCTTTGATACAATCCTTTTACCTCCTATGGATATACACCAACACTGGGATTGTGGATCATATGATAATTCTATATTTAACATTTTGAAGAACCTCTACAAAGTTGGTCATAATGACTGGGTTAATTAATAGTCATTAATAATAATGATTGTGCATATTAGTAACAACAAAATCTAACAATATGTACAATTAATAATGTGCAAGTTTTCCCTTATCTCCATATCCTCTCCAACATATGTTACTTTTAATTTTTTTGATAGGTATGAGATGATATCTCATTTTGGTTTTAGCATTTTGCTAATGATTAGTGACATTGGACATCTTTTTAATAAACCTGCTAGCCATTTGTATGTCTTATTTTGAGAAATGTCTATTCAGATGCTTTTCTCATTGTTAACCAGAATATTTATTTTCTTGCTATTGTGTTCTTTGCATATTTAGTATACTAATCCCATACTATATATATATATTTTTTTCCCCCATTCCATAGGTTGCCTCTTTGCTATTTGGATTGTTTTATTTACTGTGAAAAAGTTTTAGTTTGAGGTATTCCTGTTTGTCTATTTTTGCTTTTGCCTTTTGAGGTCATATCCAGAAAACCATTGCCCAAACCAATGTCAAGAAGCTTTCACTTACAATTTCTTTTAGAAGTTTTACAGCACCACATTTATATGCTACAATCTAATTTCATTCCTCTACATGTGCTATCCAGTTTTCCCAGCACCATTTTTTGAAGAGACTATCCTTTCTCCATTTTGACAACTTTATCAAAGATCCTTTGACTGTAAATAAATAGGTTCATGTCTTGGCTCTCTATTCTGTTCCATTTGGTTAACATGTCTGTTTTTATGACAGTACTATGCTATACTTATTGATGACTGTTGCTTTGTAGTATGTTTTGAAATCAGCTTTGTGATACCTTCAGCTATGTTCTTGTTTCTCAAAATTCCTTTGGCTATCCAAAATCTTTTGCAGTTCCACATGCATTTAGGTTTCTATTTCTGTGGGGAAAAAAGTCATTGATTTTGATAAGAATTGCAATGAGTCTGTATTGCTTTGGGTAGTATGGACATTTTAACAATATTCTTCTATAAATGTGGGATATCTTTTTGTGCCTTCTTCAATTTTTTTCGCAATACTTTATAGGTTTTCTGTGTATAGATCTTCTACTTCCTTGGTTAAAATTCCTTCCAAATGTCTTGTATTTGCTATGATTATAAGTGGGTCTATTTCTTTCTTTTCTCTCTGTGCACTGCAGTTAGAACCTATGACTTCACACATACCAGGTAAACACTCTACTACTGAGCCATGTCCCCAGCCTAGGACTATTTTCTTGATTTCTTTTTTGACTATTTTACTGTTAGTACATGGAAATATCTTGTACATGAATACTTTTATCCTGAAACTTTATTGAACTTTCTTATCATGTCTAGTCTCTCTGTGTGTATAAACCTGAAGGTTTTCTATATATAAGAACATGTCATCAGCAAATACAAAATTTCCCTACTTCCCTCCTATTTGAATGACCCCCCGACCCCAGCTTGCCTTCCAGTACTAGGACTAGGAGTTACAGTACTATATTGAATAGAAGTGGTAAGAGTGGACACCTTTGTCTTATTCCTAATCTTAGAGAAAACAGATTCAGCTTTTCATTAATAATATGAAATTAACTGTGGGCTTGCCATATATGTACATTCTTTCTGTACCTGAATTGTTGTATCATGGAAAAATGGTGAATTTTATCAAATACTTTTTTTTGCATCTGTTGAAATTATCACATAGTTTTAATCCTTCATTTTTTCTAATTGCTGTATCACATATTCTAATTGCTATATCACATAATATGTATAATTTTTAAATTCTAAAATAAGGGAAAGAGGAAATACTCGGGAATCATATTGGCCAAATTATATTGTCACATTGTGTGCCTGTGGGTATTAGTAACAACAAAATCTATCAATATGTACAACTATAAAGAACCAATAAAAATATGGGGAAAATTTCTAAAATAATTTTTGAAAAGAGTGAGTAAAGCCACTTATTCTTTTTCCTCTGCTGTATCTCTAAGTCTTGCAATTCACTCGGGATCATATGATTTGTTCTGTTTAATGGACTATGAGCAGAAATGATTTGTTTCAATCCAAACAGATGTAATTGTTTTTCCTTTACCCATTTCTTTTCCTTCTATAGTGACCTCAAAAATTACATGTTCCAGATGTCACAGCTACAAGATGGCTAAGTCTCCATCAGCCTGGGTGTCTGGGAGGTTACGTGGGACTCTGTTGCCTGACCACTTCCCTGGGGACAGTAACCTTAGTAAGAAATAATCCTTGATTGTCTTTAAGCCAGTGAGATTTTGGAGCTAATTAGTTACTAATATGACCTATTCTATTCTAATACAGTGAGTTCTCTTATAAAGGAGGGTCAAAATATAAATGCCTTAAATATATGCAGAAAAGAAGTGATCTTTCAGGGGTGGAGTAGTGGCTCAGTGATAGAGTGCTTGCCTAGAATGCATGAGGCACTGGGTTTGATTCTTAGCACCACATAAAGTAAAAAATAAAGATATTGTATCCACCATAAACTAAAAAATAGATTTTAAAAAAGATTTTTTTAAAGTCTATCTTTCTGTTCATCACTCTTTTTATTTTCCCCTGGAGTCCATCCTAATATCCCATAAAACCAATTTAAATACCTAAGAAATCTTAAACTTGGGTCTTCTTTTTCAGGGTAACTCAGCCTCCCTGTTCAGTTCACAGTTGGGACACCTGGTCATGGCTCCTCTCAGCAGGGTCTGCCTTTTGTTACTCCTCCCTAAGACTCTGATTTCAGAATGAATATGACTTATCCCCTTGGATTTTAAGAAGCCTCTGAAGTGACTCCTCCTGAATTCCTGGTCTCTGTGGTGTGTGGCTGGTTTACTCTGCTGGCATCTACTCCTACACCCACTTGGATTTGGGGGCACTGTCCTGGATCCTGACAGAAGTCTGTGGTGACTGATTTTCTTCATTTGCCATGTCCTATTCCCTAGGATAGGGGCTGCAATCTCTTCCTATAATCAGCCAGAAAATGAATAATTCAGGCTTTTCAGACCAAATTCAGTCTTTGTCACATATTTTTTCTTGTTCTAATTCTCCTCCTCCTCCTCCATCTCCTTTTATTTCCAAATCCCTTTAAAATTGCAAAGACTATTCTTATCTCAGGGCCATAAGCAAAGCCAACTGAAGCAGGACCTGGCCAATAGATTGCATTTTGCCAATTCTGATCTACAACTTTATCTCCTGACCTTAAGCCTCTTTCACTTTCCCTGCATGGATTTTAGGAAGCCCTGTGTTCCTGGCACACCCCACTGCACCTGGAGAAGACCGCTTTGGGTTCATCTACTGAGAACACTTCTTCTACCCATAGTGCTTCACTGCTTCTGGACGGTGCTGATCCCAAGAACAGCACAGCAGCTCATATATCCATCCATTCTGGGTTTCTGTCGGGGGTGGGATGGTCTGAGACCCAGGAAATAGGAGGTTCCTGGCCTACTTTCTAGGATCCAGGCAGCAACTTTTCCATCCTAGTGACAGGTTCTCCAAATTCCTCTTCTTTTTCTCTCAGCAAAAGGCTTTCGACTTCTTTTGGTTTGATGGATCATATCTTCCAATCTTCTAAATGATGGTTTAGAGATGAACTTTCATAGTTTTGCCCTAGACTTGTACTTTACCATATAGAAGAAGGAGAGAATTGATAAAATGCCCTTCTTTCTCAGTCAGGCTAAGTTTTCTGTCAGGTTCAATTTTCTATTAGAAACAGAGTATTCAAAGCAGATTCTACAAATAATATACATTATACATCTATTTCAATACAATATGTATTTCCATGTATTTTCTAGTAAGCATCCTAAATGTCTATGTTTAATAAAGACTTTCGGATTCATCTGCTAGGCTTACAAAAATCTTTTAAACAGAGGTACACACGGGCCTATTTCAAGTTACCAGACATCGGAACTGCTTGCCATCAAGCTTGAGTTTTCCATGCTCTGCAGGAAGCACTTAGCCAAGTATTCCGAAGTTGTATATTATAATAATCTATTTAAATATTTAAATGATCATTTATTCATGAGGCCCTACGTTTTCCTTCCCAAGATAGTTGGCATGATGTAGCAGCAATTAAAAGGCACTCATAATCATAATCACAGCCATTACTATGTTTTCTGGCAGCTCAGTGGCACTCTTCCATCACCGGCCTCCAGAGATGCAGTTTTGCCTCCAGAGCAGAGAGCATCTGTGTGCAGCAGAGGATCAGCCTGTGTTCCTGCCCCGGTCAACCAGGAGCGCTTTTGCAGTGACACAGCCCACCCAGGGAGCACCACCAGTGACTGAGGATCACCTAACAAATGAGGGAGCTGCTCCATTCTTAGCTGTTCTTTTCCTCTCCCAAGAATCTTTCATTCTTTGGTAACTTCGGGGTGAAACACAGCAGATTTAAAATTCCAAACAGCATTTTGCTCTAGATGCCCTGCAATGTGGCTCTGAATGCAGAAAGCAGTGGAATATATAAGAAGGCTCTTTATAAACTTAAAAGTTTTAAAGAGAAAGGCCAAAAGTGCTTGCTTGTCCTCCCCTCCTCCCCATTACTCATTTGTGTGCATTTAGAAATGGGAAAGAATTTCCACGCCAGCATCCTAAGCCTCCTTTCTGAGATTCCTAGGAAGTATGGAGTCAGTGCCCCTGGGTCAGGCTGTTAAGGAGCTTGTCTTCCAACCTGTCTCATCTGAAATTCCACCATTAGAGCTACCTTTCCTAGGAAGTGTTCTCCTACCTTCTCAAGCAGATCCTGGGGTTCTTCTATGTTCCCACAGGCAGTGTGACCAAATGTACCTTTTTCCAGGTATTATCCCAGTTTGGGCAATCAAAATCCCACAGGTTAGAAAATCTCAGACTCCTGGGAAAACTGCGACAGCTGGTCACTATTGCACTGTGTTCAAATGTCAGAATTTACATTATTGGAGTAATCAAGTTGCTTGGTGAGTGCCCTCACTGTGAACCCTTTGAAGATAGAAATCATATAAACTTGAAGACATTAGTTGTTGAAAAAATGAAGGAAAATTTTATAGAATAAGTGAATGAATGAGATTAATAAATCTGATAAGATTGCTTATAGTTTCTCCAGATTGATGCATCAAATATAATAAAATGTCTGGATTACATGCCTGAATTTAATGGCTAGAAATGATCCTGAAATTGTTTTTGAGAACAATGAGTATTAATAAAACATCCCAGGACATGAAGTTGCTGAACATCATCAAGCAATGAGAGATGAGGATCGAAGTTGAACACAAGCTTTTTTTTTTCAAGACAGGAAAACAAGAATTGTGGTCTGAATATGCTCCCCAAAGTTTATGTGTTCGGAGGTGGGACATAGTGGAAGATGTTTTGATAATAAGGACACCATTCTTGGGAATAAGTAAATACTATTAACTCAGAAGCATAGTTTGTTTGTTTGTTTTAATAAAATGACAAGTTTGTTTCCTCCTGCTCACCCTCTCTCCTCCCATTTGTCATGGCTTGGTGTAGCAAGATGGCAGCTCCTGAATCTTAGACTTTCAAGCCTCAGGAATCATGAGCCTATAAATTTCTATTCATTGTAAGTTACCCAGTGTGTAGTTTTATGCTATAGCAACACAGAACACAATAAGCCAGCAAGAGATAAGGGTTTTCTTTTTTTTCCTGGTCCATCTTTTTTGCATTGTCAAGTAAACCCAATGTGTACAATCTATGGTGTAAAAAGCTTATTGGATATTCATAGCTAAATTCATTGTATTACTTTTTCTTTTCATTCAGTTAAATGAGTTACAGGGCAATATGATAAGTAACAGAGGTGAGAGCAGGAAGAAAACAAGGTCAACCTGGCATGTTGGAAGGTGGCATGAAGGCCTGATTAGTGAAAGGACCCGAAGCCAGGTGGCCTGGCTTGAACTCTACCCACTTCTACCTTCTCACTTTGTGAACTTGGGTAGGTTAACATCACTAGTGTTCAATTGTCTTTTATGTGAAACAACAATAGTAATAATACTATAATGATAATACTATCTAGTAGGGTTACTCTGAAGATAAATGAGATACAACTCTTGGCTCAGCATTTCACAAATAAAGTTCTCTAAAAATGGTGGTGGCAATAGTAGTAGTTGTTGTTGCTTTTGTTATTATTCAGATTCATTAGCATGTAGGAGCCACAGTTCACCTCTTATTAAATACTGTGATGCAAATGGTAAGTAGGCAAATAAAAGCAAAATGCTATGGGGAATTTAAGGTAGAAGAAGAGATATTATTTCTAACTAGAAAAATTTAGGAAGATGTCTAGGATAATGCAAAGAGACACTGAAGTATTAATTCAGAACATAAAACTAGCAGTGAACATATGACCTTCCTTTTATTGTTGAAACAATCTTATACCTTTGCATTCTCAACTGGTAATCTTGTACATATTAATAATATTTATTGATTCACTGATATCCACAAAACACATCTAAAAAGTTGAAATATAGTCTGCTAATAGATCAATAACCTTAAATATTCTTTAGCAATATGCAGGGATCAAAAGAAGGTTTTATCACCTATCAACATTTTAAGCTATTTTAATTAAGTCATAGTCTGGCATTATGCAAACAGCTATAGAAGCCTTCTTTAATTGCCCATATGTAAATTTAATAATAAAGACAATGAACACTTGTTTGAGGAGTTTCTCATAAAATTAACTAATTAGTCCTCCATTACACTCCTATTGAGTTCAAAACAATTCCTTTTACAGATCTAATTATAAAACCTCAGATATGCAAAAACTGCTGCAATTTCAAAACAGTTCTATTAGACTAGCAAGAGCCCTATGACACTGATATAATCCCAACAACTACAAAGTGGTTCAGTTCCAAATGGGAATGACTCTGGAGACTGTCTTGCCAAAGAGAGTAGTGCTCCTAAGAACAATGTCCATTCACAATATAATATCCTGAAGTCTTTTAAATGCCAATCACCAAGCTGGAGAAGATGAATTACAAGCAATCCCTTTCTTCACAATGGGGGTATTTCATATCATGGTGAGCCTGGCATGAAACAAACCAGAGCAATTACATTTCCTCTAATCAGACCTTTGCCCTTGGGAAACTGGAAAGTCTATAGTGAAGGGCTGTCAAGAGAATACGGTTACTACATTTAATATCATTTAACTTCTATCATTAAAAGAAAAATAAGCCAGACCTTTCTCCTTCAAATATCTGCCTCTCAGGGTAATGCCATTCTAAACAAACTAGGGCATCCATTTTTCTAGAAGATTGGGTATAAAAACAAATAGACAAATACACTATTAATTTTTATGCAGGAAGCCCAAAAATATATATGTCCCTCTCTTGGGCTGCACTCCAGACCCTGGAATTTTGTGTTTACACTATTCTGAAAAATTGGTGGGAAGTTTGAATACTCAATGTGATGATATTTTCCCATCACCCAAACCTAAACACAAGTTGTATGACTTTCTGTTCTGAATTTGCATGCCTTTCCCTTGTCTTGCCAGCACTTAGGCATACACAAAAGCAAAATCTCCGATGTAACAAAAGCAGGGCTCACTTTGGTTTTCCCTCCACCCCCAAGTTCCAAACGCTTACATTTCCTTTACAGCAAAGAGGATTTTGTCCTTATGTTCTTCTTTCCCTTGAGGACTCAGAGCTTCACACAGTTGTATGTAACAGCTGGTGATACTCTAAGATTCCCTAAGAGGCAAAATGCAGATGGCAAAGAGAACCACCCACGCTTGTCAGTTTGCCCAGACACTATCCTCAAGGGACAAAATCTGCACCAGTGAAATGAGCACATTTTCATGCCAACAATGAACAGGCTGCTAAAAGGCATGGCGTTCTCCAGATTCTGCCCCATCTACCCAGGCTCCACATTGCACGGAATCTCAAGCCACCCAGGCATAGCTCAGATCAATGACTGGACCACAGAAGTCATGTTGACTTTTTTGGGGGTGATGAATGACTGTGCATGTTAAGGAACAATAGTGGTCAAGGGGTTTGGGTCTCAGGAAGAGGACAGTGTACAGAACACAAACTCACAGAAGGCTCAGACGTGCATCATTATATTCCTCGCATGCTTCATGGTTCCTGCAATGGGGTTCTGGGAGTCCAAATAAATGTTTGAGAAGTGCATAGATCAAGGGCTGAAATGTGTCAGAATTTTTTTTTTAATTCAAAGAGGTTGAGGATCAGGGAAGTTCTAATAGAATTAGTTTTCCCACTATGATGGTTAGAATTCTAGCTCCATCAACTAAACATCTCATCTCTTAAGTTATTTAAACCCTCAAACTCATGTTTCCTATACATCAAATAGTACAACATTTACTTCATAGGATTGCTAGGAAAACTAAATTACCCCAAATGGCAAATACACAATAAGTAATCAAGTGATTTTCACAAGTAAGCTTCTGAATAATTTGATATTCCTTAGCAGTAAGCAGAGCAATTCTGCCTTATCTGATTTACAGAGCTCAGGATGAGAAGGGGAAAATGAAAAAAAAAATATAACCCTTATCTTCACAATGATGAAAAATCAATTACACTAAAACAGAGTACAACTAAGAGATACATTTCTTTGTTTGCTTTGATTTTGCCACTCAATTCTACTATATGATGTTGAGAAAACCATTCAACCTCTGCCATCCTCAGTTTTACAGAGTGTAAATTATAACCATAATTTTTACTCATACCATCATATAAGTCTATTTTGAGATCCACATGCTTTAAAAATACTGAAAAACTGTACAAATACAAGTCACTATTAGGAACTGAGGTTTTTTCCAAGTTGCTAAATAGAGTGAAATTGATCAGAAAAGTACGTGGCATGCTGTCATGGTTCAACCCTAGCTGCTAAGGATGCCGAGGTAAGAGTGTCAGCATGTATGCTGTGAATATTCCACCCAACATGATATTCCTTTCCATCCCCCAACCCTGACGACACCCACTCCTTGAAACTGTTCTGTGAAACTTAACTTGCTTTGTCATGATTTTGTTCTCTGCTTTCTGACACTGTTTTTGCTTTCATTCTTCTTACTGGAGTTTCCTCAGGGATCGCTTTCATCTCCACAGGAATTTCCTAACCTGCACACATTTCTGGTAAGTCATCATTATCTCAATTCCACATGATTAAATTTAATATGTCATCATGTTCCCATTCTCCCCTCACAAAATGAACAGCTTCTTTCCTAGAGGTGCATTTGTGTTGATGGTGCATGATGTTGTATATGTAGAGAGTTATATAATTTCTAATGTATTATGATGTGTTGGAGGCAATGTAATCTTGGTCAGTTTAAGTGTGTCGCTCTTTCCCTGGGGTGCATCTAAGTTCCAGCGGTGTTGTGGAGCTATGAGAACTGGACACCAGTCCTGGCTATTACCTGTTAATACTTCATCTTCTGAGAGTCTCATAATACGGTTGGTAGGCAAGCTTTCATTCATGTCTTCTAGGACCTTTTAGGATACCCTGTTTTATTATATCAAGCTGCATCTTAAGAGAGGAGTTGATATTAAGGAACCGACAGGATTAAAGGAATTATTAGGGAAATACATCAATGTATGCTCCAAAAACAAAAGTACTTTCTCACTTCACTTCTATACACTATTGGAGTAACAAAGACAGGTTTATCCTCTCTCTTGAAACAAACAAAAAAATTGACAAAATATTTTTGAAAATTGAAGACTGTATACAAAGCATTGAAGGGTGGTTATGTTTGAAAATTGGGAAGCAAAGAAGGTAAGCCCATCTTACTATCTGGGAGAGCTTCCAAATTACATGCAGGAGGAAACCAACCAGGCAGAGCCTGTGGTCTCTGTGAGCTGCAAGCATAGAGTTGTGAGTCTGGGGAAGCCAAGGCAGATAGAGACACAGAGAAATAAGACTGCAGAGAGTCTATCCTGAGTATGTATGGGAAAACAGACGAGTTCATCTGTGTGAGGAAGCTTCCTGATTCCGGAATTAAAATGTAATAATAATAATCACCTCAGCTCACAAAGCTAAATGAATATTCCTTATTCTAATCAATAAGAATGGAAATCCATATTACTGAGGTTCATTGAGTATAGTACTCAGAAGTGGAAATGCCTCAGTGAGGGAAATACTGTAGGTGAAGTTTTGCTCTGATCTTGTCTAACAAAGTCTATAATTCATACCCCGAAATATTGAACTTCTCTAGTAACTTATCCTACAATAATGGGAAACATTTTGTATTTAAAAATACAAAAATATCAAATACCTAACAATATAGAATTTGTTTTTATTTGTTTGGTATTAAATTAAAAATTTCTAGACATGCAGAAAACCATGAAAATACAACTCATAATGAGGAGAAAATCAGTCAGTAGAAACTAACTTGGATACGGCACAGCTGATAGAATTGGTGGGGAGGGGGACAAAGAATTATAACTTTAGTAAGCTCAAGAAGCTAGAGGAAAGATTGAAAATATTAAGTGGTAACATGGAAGGTATTATAGGCACACAAACCAAAAATCTAAAAATGAAATTAAACTTGACAAATCGAGTAAGGGTAGGTTAGACATTACAGAAGAAAATATTAGTGAACTAGAGGACATAGCAATAAAAATTATCCAAAAAATAGAGAAAAATGATTCAATGAATAGAGTATTGGTGAGTTGACAGTCCCTTTCAAGTAGCCAAATATACAATGTAATTGTAAAAGAAAAAAAATGGAAGAAATAATGGCCAAAACTTTTTCCAAATTTAGTGAAAATTACAAACTAAAAGATATCAGAAACTTAATCTAAGCTCAGAAGCATGAGGAAAGCCACACCACAGCATAATCAAATTGATTATAACCAGAAACTAAGGGAAACATCTCAAAAGTGGCCAAAGAGAAAGGACACAAAAAGAGCAACAGTAGGCTATTTCATGATGGAAATAATGCAAGTGAGAAAATTGAAGCAGTATTTAAAAGCACTGACACAGGAGAGCCATACAAGATGACTGAATAGAAGTGACCAGAACTCATCTCTGCCTCCATAGAGAACCAAAGTAACAGGTGTATAGCTGCATTTTGAGATGAGTGATTATATGAGAATGCTGGAAATCTGCCAGAGAGAATAGAACCTTGTAAGATTCAGAAACCTGGGCTGAGAGCATAGAAAAGACAAAACACCCTAACATCTGCCACCTTGGATCCTCAGCTGGGGAACAGAAGACTCCCCTTTGCAGGGGTAAGAGTAAAAGTGAGACCCAGAAAATTATACCAGCATGGATGCTGGCAATCCTAGAGATTGGAAAGTTTCATAGTCACAGGCTTGCAGTCCACTTAGATAAGTAACCTGAAATCTTCACAGTAGCCTTTCTTTGGAAAAGAATCTCACATCATCTCCCAGTGAGCCCCAAATCTATTATAGTCAGAAGCTACCTGGATAAATAAGCTAATGTGTAAAACTGGACTACTATAGGGATCAGAAACGTCTCCAAATTCCCATCTCTAGAACTCATAGTCATCTCATTGCACTGGATCAAAGGACGCTGCTTTGCCTTAATTCAGGAGAGTGCCGGTCACTGCATGGGACAAGTGTTACAACATGGAGGGCAATAGAGAGAGAAGAAGGAAATTAGGGGGTCTTGCTCTCTGAGAACAAGAGCATGCACAGCCATGTGGGTCTGCACTGGGTCAATCCAAGGCAGATACCCATATAGTTCCCACACCTTCACCCCTGTGGCATACTCAGATATCTGTCACTGACAGGATGGGGTACCAGGGTACTGTTTCCACTGCTGTCACACTCAACAAAGCATAATGAGGGAGTTTTGAGCAAATCTGAGGCTCCGGCTACAGTCCTGCCCCTACATGTATGCTGTCACTGAAAAGGCAGAGAAATTCCAGTGGCACTAGCCTCTGCCCCACTCCTGGACATACACCGTCACTGAAGTGGGAGAGAGAAACAGTGTGCATCCCACTGCCACCCTACCCCCAGTGTGATCAGGCACTGCTGGAAGGACTGGGTGTGAACACTACATGGGGGTGCTGAAGTTCCTGCCACCACCTCTCCTCATGCACTTGGTCCCATGCACTGACTAATTGGAGAATGGGTGCTTCAGACCCCTCACCACTGCTGGGGTGCTGACAGAGCCCTCGCTAGTAGCAGAGTTATCATCAACAGTATGTGAGGAAGCCTCCATTGCACAATTGGGACCACCACTCCTAGGAGTAGCCGCACAGTGAGTAAGTCACACATCCTGTTGTCTGTACCATATCTTCCTGAGCCACCTGAATGTTTCCACTCTTACACAGCTCATAGAAACACTGTTTTCTCCTACAGTACATATTGTGCCCAAGGTCATTAATTACAGCCAAAGAAGCTTTAGGGGGTCTACACTATGGGGCACTATGCAATCAGTATTGCATAACAAACTGACACCTGAAGACACATCCTTAGGAGAAAGCTGCTTACTAAAAAAGCCATCCCCTAAGTGGTCAAGTTAACTGATCTGGTAAATACACAAATCTCAATATAGGAGATATAATATATGTATTATATATTATAGGAACATGAAATGAAAAAAATATATAGGAACATAATATGAAAAAAAGTAATAAAATGACTCCAAAAGAACACAATAACTAGCAATCTATCTCCACAAAATCAACAGGAACAAAGTTCATGATATATAATTTAAAATAATTATTAGGAAAAGCTCAATGAGACACAAGAGAAAAGAGATACACAGTTAAATGAAATTAGGAAGACAGTACAGAATATGAAGGACAAATTCAGCAAAAAGGTTTTGGTAAAGAACCAAACAGAAATCTTGAAAATGAAGAGCTCAATAAGAAAAAGAATGAATATATATATATATATTTGAAAGCCTCAACAACACACCAGATCAATCAGAAGAAAGAATGTTTGATCCTGAAAACAGGACTTCAGAATATCCCAGTCAGACAAAAAATAAGGAAGGAAAGAAAGAAGGGAGAGAAAAAAGAAGGAAACATGCAAGACCCTTAAGATACCATTATATGAACAATATATACTTTCTTGGCATATTCCAAGGAGAAAAAAAAAAGTCAAGGGCATAGAAAACCTATTCAATGAAATAGTAACATAAAAGTCCCCTACCTTTGGGAAAGATATTGACATTCAGGTACAGGAGGCTTATAGGATCCCAAATACACATGACCAGAAAATATATTCACCATAGCATAGTATTTATAATTAAACTGTCAAAATACAAGCCCCCCCAAAAAATAAATTGTAAAAATCTGTAAAAGCACAGCACCAAATCATGTTGAGGGGCAGCCCCATTAGACTAACATATTTCTCAGTAGAAAACTTACAGTCCAGGAGGGAATAGAATGTATTTTCCAAGTCCTGAAAGAAAATTATTGCTAACCAAAAATACTATATCCAGCAAGACTTTCCTTCAGAAATAAAGAAGAATTAAAGACCTTTTGAGACAAGAAAACACAGAGTTCATGATCACCAGAACACACTTACAAAAGATGCTTAAGGGAATCCTATGCCAAGAAGTGAAAGAAAGATAACTACTATCATGAAAGCATGTGCAAGTGTAAATCCCACTGAAAGAGTAGACACACAAAAGAATCAAAACTTACCAATGTAGTAAATCAAAGATGAGCAAGAGAGGCAGGAAAAAATATGCAAAACAATTTGAAGAAAATCAGCAAATGATTAAGATATCCCTATCTAGTGATAATAACCCTGAATATAAATGTATTAAATTCACCAAGTTATAGGTGGGCTGACTAGATAAAATAATAAGACACAACACAATGCTGCCTACAAGAAACTCACTTTGCTAGTAAAACTACACAGAGATTAAAGTGAAAGGATGGAAAATGGTATTCTAAGCAAATGTAAATCTAAAATGAACCAGAAGTACTTATATCTGACAAAAGATAATTTTAGACTAAGTCTTTAAGAAAAGAATCAATACATATTAAGCAAAGGATCAATTCAAAGAGGAGATATAATGTTTGTAAATCTTTATGTGCCTAATGTCAGAGAGCCCAATTTCTAAAACCAACACTCATATATCTAAAGGGAGAGATGGAATCCAATACAATAATAATCAGTGTCTTCAACACCCCTCTTTTATCAATAAACATTATCTAGACAAAAAATAAACACCAGAAGAAAACTACATTATAGATCAAATGGACTCAACAGACATTTACATACCCTATCCAATAGCTGCAGAATATACATTCTTTTCATCAGTGCCCAGAATTTTCTCTAGAGTAGACCCAATATTAGGCCACAAGTCATAACAAATTTTAAAAAACTAGAAGTTACATCCTGTGTATTTTCTGATCACAATGTAATAAAAACAAGCCAGACTTAGAAAGACAGGGATCATGTTTTCTCTCGTACGAAAGCAAGAGGGGGAAAAGTAAAGGAAGAGTGGGGGTGGATCTCATGAAAATCAAAGGCAGATCAGTAGAGTAAGAAAGGGATTGGGGGAGGGGCTGGAGATGGTGTGATATTGGGGAATAATATTGGCCAAATTGTATTGCTATATTGTGTGCTGGGACAAATACGTAATAACAAATCCCACCATTATGTACAACTGTAGTGCACTGATAAAAATATGGCAGAAAAAAAAGAATTTCAGGCAGCAGTAACATGATGCCAGGTAAAATCTGGTTTTATAAGAAGAATGGTGAGTCCTACAAATACTATTTCTGTGTACATATTTGTACGATATTTTTCCTGGTTCCTGAAATCTATATGACTGATAATTAAGTATTTATTACAAATAATCACAACATACTTGGTATCTTAGCACATATATAGAAGTAACTTGATAAGTATTGTGGTCGTTTAATAGGAATTTTTAAAGGGGCAAGTAGTAGGTGTATTAGTTTCCTAGAGTTGCTACAACAAATGCCACAAAGTAGGTGGCTTACAATAATAGAAATTTATTATCTCACAATTCTGGAAGTTTGAAGTTCAAAATTAAGGTGTTAACAGAGCCATGTTTTTTCCTGCAACTATAGAGCAATCTTTGCTAGTTGTTAGTATCCGGTTATTTATTAGCAGTCTTTGGCCTTCTTTGACTTGCATCCCTGTAACCTTCTCTGTCTTTGTTGCCACACGGCAGTCTCCTTCTAAGGACACCGGTCCTACTGGATTAGAAGTCCACTCTACAGCAGTGACCTTAGTCAAACTTAATTGCAATGTCCCTATTTCAGAATAAGGGTATATTTTGAGGTCCTAGGGGTTAGAGCTTCAACATAACTTTTGGGGAGCAGAATTCAGCTCATGACAGTGTTCCTTAAAGGATTTTCCTTGACAGTCTTTCTGGATCCTCATATCTTTAGATCACATAAATATGCATAACCATTTTGGTTATGGGTATATAAACAAACTTGTAATGATTGTTGATAGACTTCTTTTTTTTCTTCCCAGAACACTAGAACAACAGGATTTGATAGTGATATCTTTGCTGGATTCCAAGATTCTCTGAATAATTTTTGACAAAAATATCAACTTTATAAAAGCTGCATCCCACACAGAACTGCTCCACTTTCAGAGACAATAGGCAATTAAACTGTCAACTTCAAATCTAATTATAATCTAGTAATAACCTACCTTCTTAAAATATTAATAAATTATCCTAGGGAAAATGATGAATACATACTTCACACATTGCTTTTCAGGTAAACAAGACCTTTTATTTATAATTCATATTACAAGAGGACATAAACACCAAGTGTGTGGTAAGCCATTTCACAGAGTGCTGATTGGGCACCTCACCAGCTAAAAAACACAACACAGCTTTCAAACAGAGTTTAGGATCAACATCTCTGATATGGACTCCTTGCTTTTAATTTAAACCATGCTGATATAGGAGAAAGAAGGAATAGAGCCTATAATTGACCATTGTGGTTGAGGAAGAATGGAGAATAAGAAAGGATAAAACAAGAAAAATAGCAAGTTTCATGGACATTTTGAAATAAACAAGGCATTTTGAAATAAAACCAGAACAGAGAGTCAAGTAGCAATGATGTGATTAATTAAAAAATGGGGTCAAACAAAATCAAGTTTAATCCAAGACACTAATAATCATCAGAAAATATATTATACATTGTATGAATTTAATAAATTATGTTATCAGTCATAACTTTTGGGGAGCAGAATTCATAATGATGCAAATGTAATATAAAAAATATTTAATAAAATTGAGTGTGATATTATATTAATACATCTGGATATATCAAGCATTTAATAAATTTTAAGTGTTAATTATTACTAAAGACAGAGAAATCTGGGGTTTGCAGAATATTGAGCATAACTACAGGTTGCTATTGAAGAAATACTCATCCAAAAGGTAAGCTGAATATCCTGTAAACTTTGCAACATGTAGTAAATACCGGTTGTTTTCTTTAAAGCCCATAATCTCTTCATTTTCCTCTGATGATAACATGCCAGTTTTTCTTTATAACATCTGTATTCATGTGATTTGGGAGTGACTGATGGTACCTTAAAGTCTAGGAGTGGACCCATTACACAGGCTTTGAACCCAGTAAAACACTGGGTTCTCATGACCACAGTCATTATTTGAGTGAGGAAGGATGGGCCTAAGTCAGACTAATCAGATATCTCTCTCCCAGAATTTATTAGAACTATTAGCAAAAAGAAGCTCTCTTAGGGCAAAAGTAGCTAAACTGGTGGACATAATCATAAAACCTGTAATATTCCTTCCACAGGAGGGATGCATCAGACAACAAAGTCAACAAGGAAGAAAGAAAAGCAGAGAAATACAGAAAAGCGATATTGAAGAAACTATAATGACAAGTATTGTTTAAATTCCCCAATGTTCTTCAGTTGTTAACGTAGATATGTTGAAGCCATATGCCCTTTCTGACCAATGGTATTTTAACATAATTGAAATGTGTTATTTATATGCCAAAGCCCTCGAGAGCAGGGGTGGATTCCCCATGGTATTTCATTTTATCCATCACAGAGTACCGGAAACCATGGAATAAAACTCCGGCAGCACAGATGATAGCATTTTAGAGAACACGGGAAACACACATCAACTGACCTGCACTGAGCAGGAGTAGAGGTAGTAAGGGCTCAAATGCTAGCTCAGAGATAAAAATAAATTGACAAGAGAAAATAGGATAGATAAGCAGAATTGCCCAAGCATGACCAAAATGAAAAGAAATAGCATGTAATGACAGAAACATTCTACAGTCAAAAAGAGGGCACATAGACATAAACAAAAAAATGTCAAAGTTCTCCGTCTGGAAGAAATAGATACCCAAGATGGAAATGAGTTGTTCCTAACCGGAGCAACAGTGGAAACTCCTAGTCAGACTATTCAATAAAGCAAGAGCTTAATGATGAGATGGAAGTCAATAAAATGAAAGTTCAACTGTGATATTATTAAACAAGAAAATGAAATTTAAAACTAGCTTATAAGATTTACAAAATTAATGATCTAAAACAAATTAAAAATGGGAAAGTTGAGAACAGGCATTGCTAAAAATGAAATTATTGGCCCAGAGCAAAACCTTGCAATAATCAGATGAAAAGTATGCAAATAGAAAAGACCAAAGATCAATAAGAAAGCCAATAGGTATTTTTGAAAAAAGGCATATGATAATCTAACATAATGATAATCAATGCTACAGAAGTAGTGATATAAAAAAAATAACAAAATTAATTTAAATGACACTAAAAAATGTCCTAAAGTGAATAAAAGGCCAGCCCCGATTCTTGTACTTTATATATGATAGGAAAAAATAACATTATAGTTATGTTATTTACTATTATATGTTAGAGGACAACTATGACATAGAACATTCAATACCAGACATAGAACATTCAATACCTAGATAAACTACTGTAATTTAAGAAAAAAGAATTCTGGTATCCAGAGGAGTAAAAACATTAAAGGGAACAATAGCAGACTGATCTTATGTTTCTCTACAGGTTTCCTGAATGCCAGAAGACAATCTGGCATTAATTTATGCTTTAGAATAAAAACATATATATTTATATATTACATATAAGCATAATGTATAATTTATATATAAATGTTATACACACACACACACACATATATGCAACAAATATATAGGTAACTAGATGATCTTACCAAACATGATATCATAGAATCTTTTTTTCTTGGAAACAAAATTACTTTTCAATGGAATATGGCCACTTAAGGGATGAATCAAACTAAAAATGCAAGAATTAAACAGCTATGTTAAAAAGGATTGTCATGAGCATTGATAAATGCTGTAAACAGATTTGCAGAACATAAGAATTTTTGCAATTGTTTAATTTTTAATCTTTATACTTTGCTGTAATAGGGGGATTCATCATAAGAATTGTGTGGGACCAGAGGAGTGATTTTCCTCCCGGACTAGATAACTTAGAAAATTATTAGAAATTATTAAGCTAAAGTTTTTGGAATGTACATCATTTTTGTTGTTATAGTTCAGTTATAGTTCATTAATTTTCAAAAATTAATATTTGCAGAATGAACCCTTCATGAATTATGAAGAGAAATTGGGATAATCCATAAAAATGGCATGGCATTAATAAAAAGCATGAATAGTAAAAGCAAAATCAGAGAACGAGGTGTATGCGGGGCCTTTGTAAAGTTTAGACGTATTCTTAGGAATCTAGAAGGCCACACGCATGCCAGGCTCAACATGTGCTCAGGAAACCCCAACCCTGAGTTCTGCCCCACCCTCTCTCCTCTGGCTTATCCCTAGGACCTGCAAAAGCTGGAAGTAAAGTTAAAACCAGGCTGCAAACTGTTGGAGGAGTGAAACATGCCCAACACATAGAGCTCCTAGCAAAGATTGGGAGGTTCTCAATCCTATCAATAGCTGACCACAATGCTAACTGAGCAGATATGCCCTTGGCTATCCTTAACAGGGAATACAGACTTTACAAAACAAATGACAGAAGTAGTAACAATAGAAACAGTGGTAGAAAACCTTCAAAGTGGTCAGAGAAATCTGGTTTCCAAAGTTTCCTGTGATATTATTTAACTGTCCTGTCTTTAACAACAACAAAGAAACAGGAAAATATGGTCCATGCACAGGAAAAACTAGCCAACAGAAAGGGTCTCTGAGGAAGCTTACATTTGGACTTTCTAAACAAAGACTTTAAATCCACTTTTATTTGTATAATAAACTAAAGGGGGAAAATGGCTAAAGAATTAAAAGAAGATGTAAGAACAAAGTCTTAGCTAATAAAGAACATTTTAAAAACAAAGAAATTTTACTGGTGAATGTATAATCACTGAAATTTAAAAATTGTTAGCCCTATTGAAAAATACAATTGAGGAGGGAAAGAAATCAGGGCATTATAAAATAGGACTACTGAGAATATTCAATTTGAGGTCTCATAAATCTGTGGGGAAACATAAAGCATACCAATATTCACTTTGAGAATTTCTCAAAGAGAGAAGAGGAAGAGAGAAAGTAATTTGAAGAAACCTTCCCAACGTTAATTTTTTAAAACCAAGTAATACACACACACGAGTTCATTGCATTCTAAGTAGAATACACTAAAATAGATCCACACCTAGAAACGGTGAAACTGATGAAAGCCAAAAACTAAAAGAAAATTATGAAAGCCTCTATTGTCTTTTGAGAAGAGACCCACAATCTCAAACAGAAGAGTGCTAGACATAGGAACATTTAAATTGCTTCTGGTTGCATCTCAGACAGAAATTATGAGCATACTCTTGGACACTGGAAGAAGTGATCTTTGTTATAAAATAGCAGAGGATTTAACAGAAATATGTTTTTCTGTTGAGTGGAAAGTAGAACTGGTAAGTAATGAACTTGGACATTTAGTTGAGGAGCTATCCATGCATGGTGTGGGAGGTGTAACAGTGCTTCTCCTTATCGCTTATAGTAAAATACGAGTAGAGCAATAGAAATGGAGGAATAAATTGTTATGGAAAATGGGAAGCAATACTCAATGATTTGGAAAGTTTTAAACCTTTTCAGGTAGTATACTCCATGAACAGGGCTAACAGTGTGGCTGAATAACCATCTGCCAAAGAAATTAGGTATGTGACTTGTGGACCTCCACAGAAGCCAGAAAGAAGAAGACAGAGTGGTTATTCAGGAAAGGCACACAGAGGACTCACTTGTCTGATGGCTTAGATGCCTAAGAATTGCATGAAGAGATCCACCAAACTTTTTCAATTTCTTTTTTTTTTATTAGCAGAAACACTGATGGTCAGGACTGAAAGGGACAGAGATGGGAAAAAAGAAGGAAGAATGACCTTGAAGAAAGAACCATGGATGTCCTGTCTCCTTAGACTGTGAAGGTGCAATTGCCATTCTCAAGGGCCAGGAAGGGAAGACTGCCATCTTTGAAGTTCAAGAGGACAGAGCATTGAGTGGAAGAGGATTAGTCTGGGCCTTGAAATCTTATGTAATTTACCCTGACGGGCTTCAGACTTGTTTATGATCCGTGACCCCATTCTCCCTTCCAGTTTTTCCTTTCTAAAGAGGACTTCCTGGCCTATACTGGTCCTACCATCATATTTTAGAAACAGGTAACTTTTTATCTATTTTCACATATTCATAGATGAAAAGGAATTTTGCTCCAGGGATGAATCATACCATGAGTCTCATGCACTCACGTCTGATTTAGATGAGGAGGATTGGGATTCTGAGTTGGTGACCTTTCGGTGTGATTTTGGACTTAGAGTTGATGTTGGAATGGTTAATACTCTAGGGAACGTTGGGCTGGAACAAAACTATTTTTTCTCATGAAATGACATGAATTTTGGGAAGCCAGAGTACAGACTGTTATGGGCTGAATTGTGTCCCCCAAAAAGGACATGTTGAAGTTCTAATTTTCAATACCTCACAATGCTACCTTATTTGGAACTTGGATCATTGCAAATGCAATTAGTTCAGATGAGGTTACACTGGAGTAGGGTGGACTGTTGTCCTTATAGAAAGACAAGAGATATACAAGGAAAAGGCAGCCATATGACAATAGGGAAGAGACTGGAGTGATGCTTTACTAGCTAAGAAACATGAAGGATTGCCACCAAAGACCAAAATCTCTAGGAAGCAAAGGTGAATTGTCTAAGGATTTTAGAAGAAGCATGCCTCTATCAACATTTTTATTTCAAACTTGTAACTTCCAGAACTTTGAGGCAAAAACTACTGTGGCTTTAAGTCACTCATTTTGTGGCATTTGGTATGGTAGCCTTATGAAACCAATACATGATTCAATTTAGAATGTGTACCTTTTAGATAAATGATTGAAAACATCTGCATATTCACCCACAAATGCAATTAGTTCAGATGAGGTTATATTGGACCCTACGATGCTCCATATGTAAAAATTCAAAATTGGTCGTAGACCTAAATATTAAAGCTAAAACTGTAAATTTCACAGAAGAAACATGTATAAATCTCCATGAACTCAGATTGGCAATGATTCTTATATATGACACCAAAAACCACAAGCAACAAATGAACTCCATCAAAATTTCAAAATTAATATCTGTCTTCAAGAACATCTTGAAGGACATGAAAAGACAATCCACAGAATGAAAGAGACATGTTATCATATAACCCAGCAATTCCATTCCTAGATAATTCAAAGCAGATACCCATAAAAATTGTACTTGAATGTTCAGAGCAGCATTATTCATAATAGCTAATAAGTGGAAACAATTCAAATTCATCAACAGATGAGTGAATAAACTTATGTGGTATATCCATATGTGGAATATTATTTGGCAATAAAAAGATCAAGCATCTACGTATGCTAAAATGTGGATTAACCTTGAAAACCTTGTTAAATGATAGAAAGCAGTTACAAAAGAACAATATTTTATGACCCCATTTATATGAAATCTCCATAATAAGAAAATCCAAAGAAATGGAAGTGAAAACTGAGAAGTATTTACCAGGAGCCTGGTAGAGGGGGAAGAGAGAGTGACAGCTAATTGGTATGGGCTTTCCTTTTGAAGCAATGATAATGTTCCAAAATTATCCAATAGTGATGGTTTCCTGGCTATCAATATATTGGAAACCATTGAATTACATACTGAAGAGGAAGATGTTATGGTATATAACTCCATCACAATGTAGCCATTTTTTTATAATGCTGCAGTGGGCAGCATGGGCTTGCTGTATATTTTGAATATATATCAACTTACGTGTGAATTGCACTGCTTCTCAATTGAACATAAAGGCAGTTAATGGTGAAATTAAACAAAAGTTATGTCCATGTATTTTTTTAAAATCTACATTTCCTATGTTGTGCCTGGGTAATAGCAGTGCTATTGAAGATTAGTGATACTTAATCAATTGATCAAAGGTCATATAGTCAAAAGTTTGGGGAAAGGTAGGTCAAGAAAAATCAGGATTTTAATTTTTTGCAGCACTTTTCAAATCCTCTATTGTGACAATACACCTTGTGACCTTTCCAGTGGTGGTAGTTATGCATGCTGCTTATCTTTAAATTGGTCATTCTGGGCAATGATGCTCCGTGAGAAAGGAGGGTAAATTTTAAATTATCCCTGTTCTCTTCATTCCCTGTAATTTTTATGATAGAAGTCATAAAAAAAAAATCTGCTCCCTAGAATTTAGCAGTCAAGTTTACAATGTAGTTTTCTTACAAAGAAAACCATTATTCATTCACCCTATCAAATGAGTGAAATAAGAGAGGGATTTTGGCAATGTTAAAGTAAGGTTCTTTGGGCTGGGGATGTGGCTCAAGTGGTAGCGCGCTCTCCTGGCATGCGTGCGGCCCGGGTTTGATCCTCAGCACCACATATAAAGATGTTGTGCCCGCCGAAAACTAAAATATATATATATATTTTAGTTTATATAAATTCTCTCTCTCTCCTCTCTCCTTTAAAAAAAAAGGTTCTGACCCCTAATATGGTATAGCAATGTTTCTGGAGAGATAAACCAACTGGTGTCACATAAAGACTTTGTGAGCATGAAGGGATTTTTTTTTAAACACTTCCAACCTTTCCTTCATTCATCTATAAATTACAGATTAAAAGGCCAAACTCATAAGGCTGTTAGGATTAGATAACACATGCAAAATTCAGAATGACTACAACCCTCTAAATTCTATATGCTTCATAATTCTTTTTCTTCTTGTTTTTTTTCAGTATGTTATTATTCTGAACTAGAAGATTCTTTTAAAAAATACTTGATACCAACAAAAAGATGTCAACAACTTTATCTCACTATGTCATGCAGCATGCAATCCTTGTCAAATTTAAAGTAAGAAAACATTAGAAATAATGTGAAATTAAATGTAGTTTGACCATATTGCCCATGAATAAATGGCATTATGTTCTTTTTACTGAAAATCCAATATAGAATGTCATTCTAGCACACTGTTTCTTAGTAAATGATGTTAAGCAATCGATCAATCAAACATGCTTAGGGAAGACAGCTGATTCACCTTGTCAGCTAAAGGACAGAGCAAGTCGTGTGAGAGAAAAGTTTTCTTCTGCAAAGAACCACAGATAGAGAATTCAAACTCTGAATTTGTCTTCTAAGTCTCTTACAAAGCCTCACGTCAGGTCTATTGGGAATACCTATAAAAGCCTAGTAAAGATAATTTGTCTTGATCTCTACCCATTTATGTTACAAATAGAAGAACTGCATGTTCATAACGTACAGCACTACCCCCCTGTTATTTTAGGATGCCCTTCTTTCACCTGAACCTATAAGTCCTCATGGACAGTTAATGGGAATCAACAATTATCCTTTCACTCAATATATTGGAAACCACTGAATTATATACTGAAGAGGAATATATTATGGTATATAACTCCATCACAAAGTAGCCATTATTTTTATAATGCTGTAGTGGACAGCATGGGCTTGCTGTATATTTTGAATATATATCAGTTTAAAATTGCCTTCCTTATATTATTCTAAATGTACATAAGTCACACCATGTGTTCCCAACAGCTTTATGTTTGTTTTGGGGGGGTATGCTTTTGTTTTCTAAGTTAGATAGCTACAAATGATGTGTGACAAGATACCATATTTTCATTGCTAAGGACATGAATCTGGGAGTTTGGGACAAGACCTTTATTCATAAGTCAAAACAAAACATAATTGGGGAAAAATTAAAAACTAAGGGAGTTCTAGAAAACCATCATTAGGAACCATACCCCTGGGCTCAAAGCAGGGACCATATGATCCTGTGGGCTGCTTCAATGGAACCAACCATTGAAGTCACTGCTACTTTCTATTCAAAGATTCAGGGTCCCTGGAGGTTATGTCTGGCTGGCCAGTCATGCTCCATCAGATTCTACAAGGGAAGCAGCAGTGGGGGGTGATGATAATTGGCTGGCATCAAAGGCTACTCTACACCAAAGACTAAACACAATGCAGTATTTTCTTCTAAGGGAATAGCTCAGGTTATGGTTTGGATGTGAGGTGTCCCTCAAAAGCTCACATGGAGACAATGAAAGAAGTTTCAGAGGAGAAATGATTGGTTTGTAAGCGTCTTAACCCAATTAGTGATTTAATCCCAATAGAAATTACCCGAGTGGTAACTGAAGTGGTACGGTAAGGCTGGAGGAGGTGGGAATTGGGGCGTGGCTTTGGGTATATATTTGTATCTGGTGAGCAGAGTCAGTGTCTCTGTCTCTCTCCCCCCCACACCCCCTTCTTGATCACCCAGATTTGAGCTGCTTCCCTCTGCCACACACTCTGCCTCACCTGGAGCCCTGAGAAATGGAGCCAGCCTTCCATGGACTAAGACCTCTGAAACAGTGAGCCCTCAAATACACTTTCCTCCTCTATAGTTCTTCTAGTCAGATCCTTCATTCACAGCAGCAGAAAAGCTGACTAAAACATCTGGCTATAAGTAAAATGAATGGGGATAAGGTACATACTGAGCACTCCCAAAATGACCATACTCCCTATAAGTAATAGCAATAGTGATTTCCTTGATGTTGGATGCTATATCTTTATAAAATACTTTACTACAATCTCATTACTCAGTACTACAAACCTATGGGCTACAAATCTTTGTGCCCATTTCACAGATGAGGTCACAGGGTGTCAAACAGGTTAAGCTCCCACATGACTAAGTAAGTCAAAGACCAGTACACTATGAAAATAATGTCCTCACTTTCTAAATTCTCATTGAATAAACAAATGAGTGACAACTTTCTTCATAGAATCATGTAAGCATCATCACTTGGAAACAGCTTTAGAAAGGAAATAATTATTTTAAAACATTTAGTCTACCACCTTTATTTTAAAACGCAGGAAACAAGCCATGAATTAAAATGATCCCCATAAGGTAAAACAAGCAGACTAGAATTCTGTTTTGCTGAAACTCTCTCTCTTACCCTACCATAGGTTGCCTTCCCCCCCGGAGAGCCCTCTTTCCCACATAGTTCCTCCTCTGTGCCATAACAAGACAGTCACCAAAAGACCCCTCCAAAGCCTCTACCAGCCAGTACAGTAGGAAATCCCAGCAGAGACAGCTGTGACTGGGCTTTTTCTGATGGTCCTGTGAAACATGTAGCCCGAATTGAAATGTATC